CACTTTTCAAATCGCAGTAAATAGCTCACATGCCTTTTAAGGGCGGGTTACAGCTTAAGAAAAGAAAACTAATTTTCCACCGATAAACCGAAAATGACAGTTTTGAACTTGATTTCACATTTGACAGTGCACTCCGCTGGATGACTTGTGTAGAATACGACGCAATGACACGGCTGAGGGGAGGGCATATATGCACAGTTTAATGAGGAACTTCTGTCAACATTCCGGTCATTTTGTAATTAAATGCATTTCAATTAATGCACTGCCACTTGCGGACGCAAGAAAGGTTGGAGGTGAATAAATGATAATGGGAAGGGAGTATTTCACCGCAATTTTGAGACCACTATGTCTCGTACAGGCATTGCTGAGATATACAGAAAATGCCAGACACCTTGTCTTTTTAGACGAGAGAGTTGATGTTTTTCCCAACTCTCTAAACTGGTTGGGCTATACATGCTGCGCCTTTCAGTAATCCTAATTTCTTTTTTCCTCTTTCCTAATACTGTGTATATACAAATGGAAATTGCTATTGATGTGCTTTTGTAATAGATCTGTCTTGGTCTAGTATACACAAACCTCATTCACTGGGAAAAAAGACATGGCTGCTTGAGTCACGATTGGACTTGCAGTATCAATGTTCGTCAACATGTTTATACAAGACGTTATTTACGATCTAATTTGACTGATTAGATTTTTCAACAAATAGCAATAGACCTTCCACGAAATCACGCCGGTCGTTTTTGAAACGAAGAGACGCTGTGGAAAAAGCACCCATTTCGATGAAACCATTGTAAAAACAATTAGATGGCTGCAGTCATAAACACTTTACCTGTTAATGGGGTCCTAATCGTGGCAACAGGCACTGGACTAATTTAATAAGGATGCTCTGCACGCCACAGAACGTACAGTGAAAAGATGCACTCCCAGTTCACTCCCATACTTACAGTGCTCTCGCAGTGGTCCATAAATTGTCGCAGCACAGATACGAACAACCAGGTAGCAGACCTCTAACTCTTAACAAGCCGTCAGACAACAGCATCGCAATTGATATATGGCGCATTGAAAGGGCCTTGGTAAAAGTCCCTGGAGACAATACAGGCCATTGTGTTTGTTAGGATTACCCGACCACTCTGTTTATATGACGATTTATAATAGAAGTCCACAATCTATGACCAATTAGCCTGATGAATTAGTTCTAGGACCACAAAACTAGTTGAGATATCAGAGAGCGAGAGCTGTACATCAAAACAAGACAAACAGTTGGAAACGTGTTGGCAAAAGTTTGGTGTCAAAGTTTAAAAGAAATATGGCCTTTTCGACAAGAATTCATTAGCCATGCGTGTACCGTTCTCAGCAATTAGCTCATAAAGCTTTCTATAGTTAATATGCACACGTGGACATAAAATGCGTCATGCTCTTATAAGCAGCGATCTGAAGTGAATCCAAACTCCTCCTATTTTTCCTCGCAACTTACCAACAAGTGATGGTCATCGTAAATGGAAGTGTACTTTGAGAATGACACCATAAAAGTCCACAAGCAGCTACGTTATCGTATGGCATCAACGACGTATTCATGGCTTCCGTACCCTGTGTGACTACGCATGCTTACTGACAGTGACAGGTGATATGTCTCAGGATTTCTTTAAAAACCAAACTTTCGCACGCAAATAGTCGGGAAGGAAAGCTTATATATTGCACACGTCGATGTCTTAAAAAATATTTGAACGGGCTTAGTGGCATGCAGCTTGCAAAATGAAATTTGGGTAATTAATTTAATAAATCGCCCCATGGCGTGACAACACTTCAAATGAGATGTCCCTACGATAAAAAAAATTACAAGTGAGCATCTTGGCTGTTTTTTCTGCGTCAACTAATCAAACACCCAGGAAGTTCCGTTTTTATAATCACTTTAGTTGTAAAGTATTAAACTTGTGTGTGCATCTTTGCGGTCAAGAAGTTCAACTTTTTTAACCTTGCAGCAAAACTTGAAAAATCCTTATCTTGCCTCAAAACGTTTACACAAGTACATTGCAAAAAATGGTACTAATTATGTGGGTCATTCTATATACTAATTCAGCCTCTGTGTCCCTGTTATATTGAACCTGCGTAATGTGAGGTGGAAATATCACTGGAATTAATTTCCAACTATTTTTATTTGTTTGGCAGGTAATTTTTGTTATTTCATCACTCTTGCAAATTAGAGAATGTGTTCTGAACTTACAAACTCCTATGTCAAATATGACAGGGACACAAAAAAAATGGACCGCTAATATATAGAATGACCAATGTATATAACGATGCAGACAGAACCTGTTTGACGAGCTGAGGGATTTTAGAACAAAATTGGGACTCTGAATGAGATAAGCAAAATCGGGGCGGGAAATGGATTGTAAATGCACAGCAGCGCCACAGTGGGGGGGGGGCATTCACGTGCCCCCTTAAAGGTCCAGACACCCCAGGATTCCCCTCCCCTTAAGCTTTCATATGCCTACAGCATATATAGGCTTATAGGCTGCAAGCTGTTGTTCATCAGCTCTTGGTGGACCCGGGAAAAAGGAGGGAAGGTTTGGTATGCCGATATGATTTCTAAATAGAGACGGTGAAAACGGATATCATAAATGGAACCCAATATATGATTAAAATAGAGATAAAAGGATCCCCCATTAAAAGCTCGCTCTTATCTTACTAATGTTTTCACATTTTCCTTAAGCATTGTTATCTACATTGGGACGGAATTTCTACTTTGCAAACAAAACCCTGGCTGCAGGTCTGTTTACACTGCAAGAACCACAAATACGGCCGAAGCACTTGTATAATGCTATGATTGGTATCAGCCATAATAACCAACATCCTCACATGTAGGTAGTGAGCAACGGATGAGCAGTGTGCATGAATGAACCGTATTGTGGCCTGCGTTTTTGGTCTCAGCGGGAACACCGTTCATGCGCTAGCACCTTCGAACGTAATTAAAGGACACACACGGGAAGGCGGTCTTGGGCGTGGTTTACCACCTTTCGAGAATGTTAAAGACCTTCAGATATACCTTCCGTAACCTCTCAATCTGTTACGAAACTTCTTATCACCTAAGCACGGAAGTAAAAAAGTCAAGTGTAACTTGCTGCCTGTATTTAACGTGTGAGAAAAATAGTGCATGTTTTCCGTTTTATCTTTTCAGTACAACATCTCTCGTATTTACGAGTGGCGATGGAATTTAATACCTAAGCTTCTGTAGTAGTGACTTTTTAACAATTGTATGTGTTTCTGTAGTTTATTTTGCAGGCAGTAGATTTTCTATACGAACTCATAAAGCCTAATTGTTAATCACTTTCATTTGCTTCATGTCGTGGGTAGGGAGAGTCGTATACTTAATGATACTAAGGTCGGCGTGGCCTACGGACTGCCTATGGGCCCCACTTCTGGTCTTACGCCACCCCTTCTGCTTCACTGAAAGCGTTCGGTTTCTCTGAACAATGTCAACAAAGGAAATGTGTTGGTATACACATGCGCTGTGGTTCGTCGCATGGCTGCTTCCAGAGAGGAAACGAGGGAACTCAAGATCCCTGCAACCACGAGAACATTTCAAGCGTTTAGTAGAGCCAAGCTCGTAGGATACAAACATGTCCATTCGCCCGCACAACGTCACGCAAACAGGAACCCAGGATAGATTAAAAAGCTACTCAAGCAGTTGTTTATCTCTTTCGAACGCCAAATGCATACTAGACGAAGTAAAAAAGCACTGACAATAGCCAGATGTGGCCATTCCTTTCCGTGTGCTCTGTGAATTATATGGAGGCTGATGAAGCACTGTGTAAAGTCTACAAACGGGCGTGGGACCTATTGACAACCTCCATAGTTTCTGGTGGGAAGGTATTGTGTCTCTCCCCCATACCTTGGGGAGGTGTATTGATGCTGAATAACGTGAATATTAAGTGAATTTTCAATTGCTTCACACAGAGTACAAGGTTAAAAACTGGCTTCCATACGGACCTCGCACAAATTTTAAACTACTTACATACTATTATAATCATGAAAAAAACCACTATAGGGAAATGAAAATAGTGTGTTAAAAGCTTAATAAAATAATGCAGAACAGCAAAACAAAATAGTTTGAATAAAATGAAGAGGAAACAAATGGAAATTTTAGGCTCTATTTGCTGATGAAGAAAGGGGCGAACCGAACCCGCGAAACAACTTTTGGGAGAAACAAGCAGGGGGTTTGCCTAGAAACGAATACAGAAGTACCGAAGCATAGTTTAAGTCTCCAGTTTAATAGAGCCCATGGAAGTCCACTCTGTGCAAGCAGTTCCACGAGTCTGGGACTAGAAACAGTTTAATTTTGCAACCATGCGTCTTGTGTCCATTTTTCATGGCCTGTTCTTTAAGGCACACTGATTCCCACCTACCTGAAGCCCGTCTCCCTCCTCACGTGTCCAAGCCTAATGTAAACGTGTAATTATTTTCATACAGAAGTGGACCACTCGCTTGACTGGCTGCGTCTGACCAAATTGGATTTTAATCACATTTCAATGCATCTTTACGCTCCGGTTGTCTCTGGGTTGGAACACATATTTATTGCCCGGAGGCAGGAAGACGGAAAACGTCACTCACCAAAACAGAGGGGTCACTGCGCATGCTCCCCTTTTGCACAAGGTCTACTTTCCCAATGTGACGAGCGGACAAGCATGTATTTCTATTACACAATTTTGTTAATGTAACATTGATTATTTTGAAGTGACCTGTAAAAGGAAACCTTTGTCGTTCAATTTTAAATATAGTTCATTTTTCCTTTGCAGGGCAGATACATTAAAGTAATTGTGCGAAAAAAATTCTTGGTTGATGCCAATTACGAATTCCATTTATTTGATTTGCGAATCACTTGGGCACGTCCTTATACTGGCCTGCACTAAGGGATAATTCTAAAAGAAGTTCGAATTGAGAGTGGCGTTACACGTATCTGAAAATGTTTATTAAGGCAATTTGGACTTACCACTACAACTCACTTCAGCAGTGACGGCTCCTTCCTCCAAAACGCCAAACTGGTTCGATGATAACTTGGGAACTCCTGAAAAGTCTGCGTGTGTTTCCTCCTCAAGTGACGCAGTGATGTTACGATGACCAAGCAGATGAATATACCGAGCGAATGAAGAGCAGGACCCCAGAGTGATCGCTTTTATGATGGGGATACTCAATTAGACCGGCGAAGTAATACGCCCACTACATGAATCCATCGCACTGTAAGTCTGACAGTTAACCACACTCCGATCCCGTACCGATCATCATCCTTCAGGGAGACCACAGAGAAGGTGGCATGAGCCGGAAAGAATACCCAAAACCATTGGATCATGAGATAATCATCCCTCTTACCGACAGCCAGTTGGCCTAATTTATTGGCTACCGACGGCCTTGATGTGATCAAACGCTATTGTTACAGTTTGTGTTTCACTCCAGTTCTTAGCAACAGAATGTCAGCTTTCAACCCACAAAGCTGCTCCCACGGAAGCGATCGGCTGGCTCACAAGCCTTCGCCCACCCATATTATACTTGAATCTTTGAACGCTTACTTGTGTGTTCCACGTAGGCAGTGTGAAATAGCCGCCTGTTTATGCAACAATGGGAGGGGAGTCTTGCCGGCGTCAAACTCAAGGCTCCTGTACACTTTCACTATCCTCACGAGACACAACAAACAATCACAGAAGTAATTATCATGTGAATTTTAGTAAAGAGAGGGCCTTACAAAGAAAAGATACCTGATTCATGTCCTCACGGTCTGTGAGAGTAATGGCGTTTCATGAAAGTGGCTCTAGAATGAAGTTACAAATTTACTGTGTTAACTCAAGGTCTTCCTTTTCCAGAATTTCCCCCTCCCTAAATCCCAACAGTCATTGTGCTAAACAATGACATCATCTTGAAAAATTGGAAAAAAAAATACTAGTGACAATTTTCCCGTATTGTCGTATTGTTTCCACACTAAAAACACATAACACTTGATATTTAGAGTTTATTCACTTGAGCGAAGAACACCACCTTTATTCAGAATTCAACGATGCCGACGAAATAAACATAAACGGACGTGTAATGCCATAACTTACAATTAGGAACGTGTAAAATGCGTATATACAAAGGAACAACGGGTTCCCTTCCTGGGTAAATGAGGCGTAATTAGCTATTGACTGCATTTGACACCGACTACCGCCACATACGAATTTATTCTTCGGTAAGCCTACTTTTTTATTGCTTCTATACAAGCACTGCGTGGGAACCACAATGCTCGTGCAGGAACGTTGGTAATTACATGAACTGCTCAGGCAGAGGCGTCAGAGATAACACGCTGTGAACTAGCGTCATATCTTTACACGAAAGAGGCAGAACTATGGATAAAATTTTTAATTTCTGAACGTTCGCACGTGTACAAACGTCTGTATTCATAAATAAAACAATGGATGGATCGTTTGTTGATGGACATCGACAAACGTTGGTATGGTGCTTACTGTTGATAGAGTTAACGCTGGTAGTAATTTTTTAAGTGGTGTAAGGGGTAATAAATGTCAATGGGCTTGGCGTTAAGTCTGACAGTAATGGTGGTGGAACAATGAATTTTGGTAGAAGCGTGTTGCTCGGTGGTAGTCGTGTAGTAATGCTATATAATGGTGAAATTGGTGTGCTTGTGTTCATCTTGAGTTCTGGTATCCATGGTGATAGTGATTATCTTATGGCGGCTCTTCAACTTGATGTCAGTGTTAGGGACAGTGCTGGTTTTTTCGGTACTATTGTTTGCGACGTTGGTTGTATGAAATCAGTGTCGATAATGTAGCTTGGTCTTGACGTGTGTAGCAAGTAAAGTGTGCTGCCGCTATTATTGTGGTTTTATAGAAACCTTTCCGTACAAAAAAGGTTGGTTGAGCAATGGTAATGCACCAGTCACAACTTGAACTTATGACATATTAGAAAGTCTTAATTTCTGTTTTTTGAAAAAAAAAAGTTCTTTTGAAAAAAAAACAGAAGTGAATATAGTGGATAGAGCCAGGGGAGAGTGATGGTCGAAAAACGATCTTATATATCAAAATTTGACTTTATTTTCATTCTTACTTGTCCCTTTTGAAGGAAGAAAGGGGATGAAGGTTTCTTCAGAAGACTACTGCATAGGCACCAATGAATAAATAATAATGCTTTCAGGGTTAGTTTGCCGCCAAATGACTATGATTATTAACCAGAGTTCTTCAAAGTAGGCCTACACTAAATAGGCCTAGACTCCTTGAATATTTCATGAGCAAACGTTTTACGCCCTAAAATTGATCGTCTAATATAGATTACGGCACAACAAATGTCTTGAAGGTAATGGGTCTGCAACCATACAGGACCTTCTGCAGATACAGTCGTATCTTTCTCTCCTTAACCACTGTCACAGTTGAATTACTTGTGTTACTTATATTGGAAACAGAAGTTAAACGCAGAGCATGTCAGACAAGTAAATTTCACCCCGAGAGAATACGTTTTTTGTCAAATTGCAATCCGTTGCACAACTTTATTTGGGAAGTTTACAAGTCTTGACCATGAAAGTAATATGGGCGATTCACAATAGTGCGCCTCCAAGAGTTTGCAACCCTTTGACCAATCACAGCGCGCGAAATCTGTCGACCCATTCCAAACCCGCATTGGGTCGACAAATGTGATTGGTCAACGTGTTGCAAACTCTTGGGGGCGCACTACTGTGAAACGCCCGTATTGTGGAGGGATACATTTCTGAGATGAGGTTTTCACAGATATGCAGCATGTGTTTTTGCTCATGAAAAGAGTGGGGCTGGTAGGTCTGTAAAGGCCAAGCACACTTAAGGGCTTTTACGGTGACATCGTATTGTCAAAACTAGGGGTGGGGGACGATTCCTGTTCAACGCTCATATTTCCCAGCCACTCGCCATAAAGGTATTATTCAATATAGAGAGAGCGTAAGCCATGCATATCATGCCAGATTGTCGCATGACTACATATGTAACTATAGTTTGTCAAGGTCAGGAAGGCTTTGCCTTTCGCAGCGCCCTACAGTCATTTGCAAAAGTTTAAGACAACCTTGAATCTTTTTGGTATTTCTGTCACTGGGCATGCATTACACTGTCTAACTGAATGATTACTTAACATGATTTTACAGTGGTGTATGACATCAGTGTAGCACGATATACCCATGTTTTGCAAAGGCAGGTCTTCTATGACATTTTGTCTGCAAGGCAGCATAGGTAAAAAAAAAAAGGCCACTCTAAGCAATCAGAAATAAGGGAGGGCACACTGAATATTAGACGGCTAACATGTCAAATCATGGGAATGTAGTAAAAATGTTCAACCAAGGTACCAAGGTTACACACTGAAAATAAACACAAGTTGCCATGATTGATTAGTTTAATTAAGCTTGGTTTTCCTTCAGGTAAATGCATTTTCTATGGGTGGTCCTAAACTTTTGCAAATGACTGTACAACTGTTCCTTGTTTAAAATTTGATAATACTCATCTGACAGAGAGGCCTATAACAGATACTGCTTATAAAACAATTAAAATCCTACGAAGAATTGTGCATGCCGTGGATAATGTATTTAACTAGAAATGTTGGCCGAATGGTCATCAAATGACCCCCTTTCAGGCCACAGACTGCATCCTTTGGCCAAAAACGTCTCCTGTGAGTACACCGCTGTCATCGAGTATCAAGTAAAATTAATGCTTCAGATGCATTCTTTTATCATTGTTTATCCTTTTCGTTGTTTCATAATTCTTTTCATTGTGACTGGACACGTGAAAAAGGACTTGGCAGTTTTGTGGGGAAAGCCCCACAATAAGTTATAAATATAAAAGAAATTACAGGTGTCTTCTTCAACGAGCGCATACATAATTCAAGAAAAAGTATTGTAGTGATGGCCTAATCGTCGTACTGTTATTAATAACCTTCTGGAGCTGTAGTTTATTAATTGCACCTTCCTAAAACCATCCCTTTGAAGAATTTTTGCATTTTTGGGGGGAACAAAAATGATACTAGAAAAAACATAGTCGCCCTTCACTGTCATTCCATTCGGCTCTTTTGGTCAGAGGCTGTCTACATCATGCTATCTCGGGGGATAAATTTTCAACTCCTGAGGTCTGGCAAGTTCCACGCTGTATCCTGTTTGGTCTTGGGTCCCTCGCTTGATTTCATATTTTAACATACGAAGGTACAGTATCTCTTGGTGTAAAATATCAAGGGAAATCAGCTATGCCTCGTTTGTATGATATAGCAAAATAGAATAAATCAGATTATTTTGTTGTGTTCGGGGAATTGATTCTAAAGTTTGTGATGAAGGTGACGACCGTGAAAAGGGTGTATGGCTGGCTACATCAGACAAAATAATCAAGTCAAGAAATACAAATGGCTCTGAATGCTTTCATGTGTAGTTTTCAGATGCATCTTAATCGCACCTTTAAGAGAGCATGATAAAATGGGTATACATAATACTTTCGAAGGTGTTTATTACACATTACGAGGAAATCAAGTGTTAGATTTATCGTACTATATAAACATTCAAATGTAGAATCTGTTCTAAAGAGATCCAACTTCCGAATAAAACACCATAAAACAGTTAGTTTTTTTAATTTTGGTCAAAGAAGGGTTGCTCCCATCATTTCGTTTTGGTCAGTTAACATGAAATTTCACGAGTCAATTTTTTTTTGTCTCAAGTCAACCATTCTTTGACTTTGTGGGTGAATTTGGAAAAATTGAAACGTCATTGTGTCTGCAAACCGGAAATCATGTATGAGGGGTAGGTCTCAACCCATGTTTAAAGTCTGAGTTTGACATACGTAATAGCATATAGATTTCCCGACATGTCATGAAGGGCGTCAATAGGTCATTTTTTTGTTGAAGGGTGACCAAATTTTTGATGGATCATGCTGGTGTAAATAGCACCCTTCTCTAGAAATATGTAGACTGCAAAATTTTTTTTGTTGGGGGTGAATTATGCACTTTTAGGGAACGAACGAGCAAACAGAAGAACGAGGGAATATCAATGTACCCAAATTTTGAAACTGTGCTGGTTAATCAGGACTAATGCACACAGTGGGTGAATATTTATCTACGAGTATATGAAAGAGTAATCAAGGGAAACAGTTCTACAATAAAGAAAAGAAACAAAGTTAAATTGAATCGTTTC